CATTCAAATAGAAATGCTGTTTTAAATGGTAATAATATTTCACAATATTCCTGTTTTTACTGTAGTTTTGATTAAATGTAGCCTTGGTGAGCATTGAATTTTTCAAAAGCATTCAAAATATTACCGACACCAAACTTTTAAAAGGTACATTATTGTACATTAAAACCATCTCTTCCTTTTAGATATCTATGTGTGCATGATCTCTTATGCACACAATGTGGCAGCCCAGGGTAAATACATAGCCATAGTCAGCACCACTGTGGAGACCAGCGACCCTGAGAAAGAGATCAAACCAGCCCTGGACCTTTTGGAACCGGTTGAGCAGAAGTACGTTTGTGTGCACTCGCTGATATCTACAACTTACTTTGACATGCATGCAATCGGATAAATAAGATAATTTTGTGCTATATGTGACCTTCCTGCAGACTTGTGAGCATCAGTGATCAGTATGCGCCAACCGATGTGGGATCTGACAGCCAGGTAAGTGTTTACATTGTGCTCACTTGATATACAAGAGTGACTACAGTACTAAGTTTGTTTTTATCTGCACCCAGATCTTTGTCTCTCGCTCCTATGATGCCACGACCCACTTCGAGACGACCTGCGATGATATCAAAGACATCTACAAGCGAATGACGGGCACAGAGTTTGATTTTGCCGAAATGGAACGCAAGAAGAATGACATCTTCGGAGACTGTGCTGACCAGTAAACTAGCTCCAGCTGCTCTTGAATATCAGATATTCAGACGATCATAATCTTAACATTTAAAAAAAAGCAAAGAGAAAAAAAAAGGCAACCAAACTGGGCGAGCTGGCTATCCAAGCATATGTTTTGCCCTTAATGGAATTTCATGTAAACCGTTATACAAATTTAGCATTTTTGGGGGGGGCGGAGAAGGGGAGAAGGTTCTGCCAGTCTGCTTTTTATAATCAGGAAACAAGATCCATTTTGCACTGATTGTTTATCAACGCCCTGTAATCGGTTTCCGTCATGTGATCTTTAGCTCAACCTGCTTAGACATGGGATGTGAAAAGTCCAGAGATGCCAAATAAGATGTATTCAAGTGATATGAAGAAATGCATATTTTTAAAATGTACTGGTGTTCGCTGTCAAGGGGACGGGGATCGGGTTTTGCAAAATTGCGAAATGATCTGTTTTGAGTTTGGCCAGGTTTAACAGCACACGTTTTTATTTTGAAAAGAAACTATCTACTTCTAAGATGACTTCCAGGGATTATTCATTATTCTTTTTGCCTACAAATTACAACTGGTGCTTAAACTAGTATCCTGAATATTTAGTTTGCAATATTTATCCAATTTCCTTGCGTTTACAGATCGAAGGGAAGTATCAAGCACACACAGTGTAGATAATCTTTTATGTAATCCGTGTCCAACCACACAGTATTCGTTTTGCAATATGCTCATGTGATTTGACATAACTGACCCCCTATTAGCTGTAAATTGTGCTACTTGTCGGAAGGGCCAGGGTTTCTTTCAGCTTTGCCTTGCATCTCTTTTCTGATGGGTTATGCGTGATTCTAAGGCTACTACATGGAGGTTATCACACGTCAGTGGGAAAAGCTGCTTAACTGTAAGTCTGGAATCTGCTTGTCTAGTGTGTGTTAGGCAGCTCTTCTTCTCCTTCACCTCAGAGCAGAGAGAGGAGCAGGCAGTGTCTCCTCAACGGCTCTGATGTGTTAGCAAGGACCAAAATGTCTATGGCAGTATTGACATGACCAGGGCCCTGTGCAAAATGTCACCAATGTTTTAAAAAAGAAAACAACAAACGCTGAACGAATGGGGCTCAAATGATTTCTGTACTGCGAAGTAAAAATGTTAACTTGTGGAAAATTGACTTTGTGTTTTTATTTATTTTATTTATTAACTACCTAGTTTCACTAACAATTATTTTTAAATGTTAAATCTGAATGATATTCCATATTTTATAAACAAGAATATTTATGATTTTTATTTTTTTTATTCTTGTTATTGTGTGGCCTGCATGTTTACATCACAAAAACAAAGCAGTTAAATGTAATTTTGTAAAGTGGTATTAAATATATATCACAAGTGCTTCGTTAATATAAAAGTTATATTTTGACATTCAAAAAGTTTATTAATAAACAATTAATGCCAGTTTATGGTAGTGAGCGCTGAGGAGGAACTACATCTCCCAGAATCCTTTGCGTATTTGCCGTATTCAACCCGTAGTGTCGCAAGTCATAAACTGCACAGGCGGCTTCTCTAAATATAAAACAAGTTTACTTTATCAGCACGTTGGTCGCATGCTATATGAGTAATATTTGTTAAATGTCAAGTAGATTTAATAAATTATGGAACTCACCGCTGCCAGATCAACGTTTTATGGTGACATCGGTGAGTATTTGTCTAATATCAATGCATTTTATGCTTAACGGACTCCTGTCTTTGCAATTGCTTAACATTGCTGTGTAATAGACGGTGGAAATATATTTCCCATTAGATCTATTCCCACTTAATACGAAATAAATGACTGCATTTGTAGGTCACTGGGCTGACCGCACGCCGGTACATGAGGCTGCGTCTCTAGGCCGAGCTCTGCCGTTAAAACAGCTGATAGAAGCAGGAGCATCAGTTAATATCGTGTCTGTGGATAACTTCACCCCTCTGCATGATGCCTGCATCCAAGCCCATCCAAAGTGTGTTCAAATCCTGCTGGAGGCTGGAGCTCAGGTGGGTTACGGCACAAGGTATATTTTAATAAGGGTATATTTTAATTGAATGATGTTCTTATTCGCGTATGCTTAGCTTTTATCCAAAGTGACTTACAGTGTTGGGGAGTAACTAGTTGCATGTAACGGCGGTACGTAATTAAATGACAAAATAAATGTAACTAATTACAGTTACTGAGAAAAAAATGTGTAATTAAATTACAGTTATTTATGAAAATAATAACGATTACAATCTGAATACTTGTATTAATATTTACTATATTTTTTTATGATTTTAAATCTGTATTTAACTACAGAACGATCTCAAAGTAAAAAGTGGTGCTAAATTCTGATTTTGTGGTGGATGTACTTTAAAATTAAATGATTATAGTCTTAATTCTAGAGATGAAGGATTTTGAAAGTTAGTTTGATTGCTTCTATTGTCCTCATTTGTAAGTCGCTTTGGAAAGCGTCTACTAAATGTAAATGTAAATTAAAAAAAATAATCAAATGTATTCAACGTTACTTTAATAAAGTAATTGAAATACTTAGACTACTTATTACATTTTAAATAGGGTAACTTGCAATCTGTAATCTAGCCTATTACATTTCCAAAGTAAACTTCCCAACAATGGTGACTTACAATAAAGGAGCATAAGCAAATCATCATAGAGCCAACAATATTAGAGAAGATGGGAGGAATAACAAGGCACTGAAAAATTAAATTAATAAATAACAGACATCCCACCCTGCAAAACTCATTCATGACTAGTCTAAGGTATAAACTATATTCGCCATTGAAAACTGTGTGTGCAGGTGGATGTGCGCACCATCCATGGCAGTACTCCTCTCTGTCACGCCTGTGCGGCTGGCAGCATAGAAAGTGTCAAGCTGCTGGTGGATCATGGAGCGTCCGTCAACCCTTCCCTGACCGCCCTCACGGCTTCACCCCTCCATGAGGCCTGCATACGAGGTGAGATAGCCAGGAGAGGGAATGCTTTGTGTTTAGATTGTTTGTGTTTTCTCATGATCTCTGTGCAGGTAGCCCAGACTGTGTGAAGCTTATGATAGACAAGGGAGCGCTGCTGGAGGCCTTTGACATTTACTTCGGGACGCCATTACATGCTGCTTGTGCTAAAGCTCACTTAGACTGTGCCCTGCTGCTGCTCAATGCAGGTGAGGCACTTTTTTATAGGTGTAGTTTATATATTTTATTTTGCACTGCTATGTATTATTCTGCATTATTATTTTTTCATAGGTGCAAAGGTGAATGCCACCAAGTTCCATGAGACGGCACTGCATCATGCGGCGAGGGCCGAGAGAGTGGACCTGGTGGAGCTGCTGGTGGAGTTTGGTGGAAATGGCAACATAAGTGATAACTTGGGTCACAAACCTAGAGACTATACAAAACCTGAATCTTCTACCAATCTCTGTCTGCTGCACTATGAGAGTATGTCACAGTCTGCATATGTGCTATACAGTATATTACGAGACCTCTCAGAGTGATTTCATCTGCTGTTCTGTTTTTCTGCAGGTAACCCTCTGTCTCTGCAGCAGCTGTGCCGTATCGTCCTGAGGACTGTGTTGGGTACTAGAGCTCTGGAGCTGATCCCTAAACTGGACATTTCACAGCGCATCATTGATTACCTCATTTATAAATTATACATGTATAAATAAGTTCCCTAGAGTCTCATTTTCAGGTTTAGAAACCTTTAATGGATTGCAGTTTATATAGTCTTACGTTTGTAAGTCAATTAATTTAATGTTTGACAACCAGAAAGTGTCCAAATACTTTTTGTCTTAAAGGTATTGTTTTATAATTTAAACTTATCAAACTTTTTTTGCTTGAAAATAGTTTGATACTTTATTAAAATAAATGCCATTGGTTTTCAATCAGGAAGTCCTGAAAGCACTTTAGGGGGTCTGTTGAGAAGATATATAAAGCATATAGCACTTAACTTGTTGTGACATGTTTAACTATTTAACTCATTAAAAAAGTCAGTCTATTAAGCGTTATGTATTGTTAATATTCTTAATTAAAGCTACTGTAATGTGTTATCTGGTATGCCATGTCCCTGGGTCTGTAAAGGTTGAAAGCTCTTGATTTAATGCACTCGCATTCCTACATTTGTCCAAATGTATCCAATCCTTATTTTTTGTATTTTTTTATATGCGTGCATATATATATATATATATATATATATATATATATATAATATTATTGACCCCAGTACATTCGCAGTAAACTACAACTCCCAGCATTCACGGCAACACGTCATAACTAGAACCTAAACAGAACAGACCACGTGATGCATACACCGCATTTCTAAACACAGCAGACTTTAGTTAGCGACAGTGTTTGGTTTAAATTTCTCTACCATTTTACTAAAGCAGAGATGGAAGTGAAAATGGCACGACCTTATTTTTTCGGTGACATCGGTAAGTCCACGCGTATTTGCCGCTATCTCCGTACTGCAGCGGCGTACCGCCCTATTTTGATTATCATATTTCACACCATAGTGCTCTTCTTAATGCCGTGCAACTGTAGTCAACAACCAATGTTGAATATAGCCTTATAAATATGTCATATAGCCAACCATGATAATATATAAACTATACAAATAATAAACACCCACCCAGCACCAGACGTCATTTGGACGTCGTTTTTTGTTAGTTAATAATCACTCATGAAGAATGAGTACACTTTAATTTGTACAGAAATATGCAATATTTGACTCCTATTCAGTGATGCTTTTATCTTTTTTCCCCTTTTGTTTGTGTGTCAATCACAGCTAAATAAAACCAAAGGCCATTCAGCCACAGGACACTGCATCTTTTGCTGTGTGAGTTCATTTTTTTGAATGTCAAACACATTCTCAGCATTTATATTTGGTTTGGTTTTTACAACCGTTTTAGAGTCACCGATCCTAAAGTGACAGTGACATGTGGCCAGACGTCTTTTCACCTTTCACTTTTCAACCAAATTTTAACGTTTAGACGTCTGGCATTTACGTCTTTTCAACGAGTTTTTGCTGGGTGGGCATTAACGCATCAATAACTCATGTACATTATTTGATTCTATTACATGATTTATGAGACAACTTTATGTCTTTTTTTTTAACTCGAAGGCTTATATGACCAATATATTATGCCTAATAATTCATTTTTATCGCATATGCTAAAATTATTACCATAACACATCATCCATTAATAAAACAGTGGAAACGATCTGTTGTGGCTGACTCTTGTGGTTATGGTTTTACTGTGTATTAGGTTTCTGGGCAGAGAGGACAGAGGTTCATAAGGCTGCGTATCAGGGTCAGGTGTCAGAGCTGCAGAGTTTGATCCAGAGTGGAGCTTCAGTGAATATTGTGGCTGTGGACTCCATCACTCCCCTCCACGAGGCAGCTGCGCGCGGACAGACGCAGTGTGTGAGACTGCTGCTGGACGCAGGGGCTCAGGTGCCAGTCACACACATACTGTTCTTAAAAAGGCCCTGACTTTGGCTTTGAAATGGGTTTTTGTGTTGCAGGTTGATGCAAGGAACGTGGACGGCAGCACTCCACTGTGTGAAGCGTGCTCTATCGGGAACTTTGAGTGTGCGAGGCTTCTTTTGGAGTATGGAGCAAAAGTCAACCCCATGCTTACCTCTCGCACCACCTCTCCTCTACATGAGGCCTGCATGGGAGGTGTGCTGGTTTGGTGTACACTCACTGTAGAAGTGTATTTTATTTTATTGTTTTAGTTCAATTTAATTGTATTTGTTGATTTAAAATGTATAGTTATCTAATTATTAGAACAAGTGTATAATAGAATGTGTTGACTTTTTGTTTTTCTTTAGTATTAAAGAATCTGTAAGGTATTTTTTTTAATTACCGTAATTCATCGAGTATGAATTATTTTGATGACGAGTTTATGGCTGTTTTTATTTTATTTTATTTTGAAATAACTTTATTTAAAAATATACTAATATACAATGTTAAAAAATAAGTTAGAGAAGGAATTTAAGAGTAAGATTTTTTTTGGACGATTTCTTTATTTTTACATTTTATTTTATTTAAAAATTATTTTAAAATATAATCAGTATTAGTATTATCAAAAATGATTTTATATTAGGTTTTGTTGATTTTTGTTCTGTAGTTTTACAGAATAAGGTAATTTTATAAATTCATAGAGTATGAATTCCTTTTATGATTATTTTATGTTTACAATTTATTTAAAAAATAAAATTCACTATATATCAATTTTTTTAAATAATTTTACATTGTGTTTTATTGACATTTTATAATTTCTGTAGTATTGCAGAAGCTGGTTTACTTGTAGGTAAAAGGTAATTTTGTCATTAGAGTAAAAATTGTTTTTATGATTTTTTTATATTCACATTTTATTGTATTGTTTTTATTTTAAGAACAATAATTATTTTCATTATTATGAAAATTATATTTGGTTTTGTTGTCTTTTGTTTATATAGTATTACAGAATCTGTAAGGTATTTTTTTTATAAATGCTTAGAGTATGCATTCTTTTGATGATTATTTTATTTTATTGTTTTAAAATATAATTGTCAAATTTTCAACAACAACAAAAAAAAATGTAAATTGTCTTTTATTGACCATTTATAATTTCTGTAGTATTACAGAATCTGTATGAATTTGATACATTTATAGAGTTAGAATTATTTTGATAAACTGAACTTTTTGAGTGAAATACTTGTCTGTCCATCATATAATATGAGAATATTCTGTTATGCAGGTAATGCAGATTGTGTGAGGTTAGTGATTGCTAAAGGAGCCAGTCTGGAAGCCTATGACCTGTACTACGGTACTCCTCTACATGTGGCATGTGCCAACCGACACCTGGAGTGTGTTAAAGTGCTACTGAATGCAGGTAAAACCGGATTCCATGAACCATGAGATTGTAAAGTACTCTGTCAGCCATGCAAACGCTGAAGAATGTGCCTCTAAAGAAGGTAGTTTAGATCTGAAATCACCAAAGTAAAGCTTTAATCATGAATCATTGTGTGCAGGTGTGCGTGTAAATGCCACTAGGCTACACGAGACGCCCTTACATCATGCTGCCAAGTCCAACAATGTGGATATGATTGAGCTGCTGGTGGAGTTCGGGGCCAACATTTACGCCCGAGACAAATATGACAGGAAGCCAGTCGACTACACAAGGCCAGATACGCCCTCAGCGCACTATCTTCAGCTTTATAGGAGTGAGTTCAAAACAAAACCGCCTTGTAAGGAACTTAAATTACACAACTTAATTTGTATTTTGAAATGGTTTTCATTCGTTATAGGATATGTTATATTGTTTAAATTCATTACTTTATAGGATAGACCGACTGAATGTACAGGATTTTATCAGTGGTGTTGTAGAAATAAAATATCCTACATTTAATATTCTGCACTGTTTTGGTCTCTTGTCAAAAAAAAAATTAATAAACAAATAAAGTTAATATAATTTTTGATGGAAAAAAAAAAGATTTGGTTATAAAATATTTAACATTTTGAAAAGTATCAATTTTGATGTAAAATAATTGTTTTTAAAATATTTTGCACCTTTTTGGTCTCTTGTCAAATAAACAATTAATAAAAAATAAAGTTAATATAATTTTTAATTAAAAAAAAAAAATATATATATAGTCTTGATGTTTTGATTTTTATTTAATGAAAATTTAATTTTTAATATTTTTATAATATGTTTTAAGTAATTTAAAAGCAAAAAATGTGTTTTTATTAAAAGTAATCATCAAAAAAAAAAAATCACACAAAAAAAAGACATTATAGAAAGTGTCCAGCAGATGGTGCCCTGGACTTAATGTAAAAGCTGTTGTTTTGTTTATGCGGTATATTGTTTTGAATGAGGACGAATCAGTTAAAAGTTCAGTTGTTCTCCATGCTCTCACCAAGATTTAAATGTTCTAAAAAAAAAAAAGATATATCATGTTAATGTTAAGTGTTCTGGTTGTAGTGATATGCGGCCGCTGTGGTTGTATCTGCAGGAGTGATTCACAGCCAGGTCTGCTGCCTAGGTGCTGCTCAGGATGTTTTGGGTGTGATGTTATAAACAATTACATGAAGTTTATGATGATGAGATTAAAAGTTAGATTCTGGCGTAGGTCTGGAATCCATCATTAGTCTCATTCCAAAGGTGCATTCGCGACCCATTCGAGTCCAAACACAACACGGCAGTGCCCCTCTTCAGAATGTAAACCAGATTCATGCGAAACCGTGGCCTAGGAGCATATAAATATTTTCCAGATACTGACGCGCTTGTGATCTGAAGCGCTCATATTTTACATTATCAAGCGAGAAGGTTTTATCTCCTGGAATGTTCACTTGTATTTGTTTTTATTTGGTTTCTATGGAAGGCAAAGTCAAAATGTATCAATTGTAGGGTGGCCATACAAAATTGTTGCCACAATTGTCATCACTGCACTATTGATAGATAGTGTTGCATTGAAATGTTATTGAAGTGTTTAATACTGCATTATATTGTGTGTTTTTGCAGGTAACCCTCTTTCTCTGCTGCAGCTGAGCCGTATCGCCCTGAGGACGCTGTTGGGCACCCGAGCTGTGGATGTGGTGGCCAAATTGGATATTCCCAACCGTATTATCAGTTACCTCTTATACCAATGAACTCTTTCTTTAGAAGTTTTTACCTCAGATGCACAGACACTTGAAGCACTGAAATCTCTCCAAAAATAAATATTAGTTATATTGGCACTTTAGAGCATTAAAGGTGAACTATGTAATTTTTTTAATGTTAAAAATATATCCAAATTATTATTCTTGCAATTTTGTATTGGCACAGAAATTGCACACTTCACCTTTAAAAGATGTTTGCTTGTAAATGAAAATTCTGTCATTATTAACTCAGTTTCATGACTTTATCCCAGTGGGGTTCAAAATAACCTTTAATCCCCACTGTATGGACAAAAAGTGCTGAGATATTTTTCAAAATACCTTCATAGGGAGTAAATGACAGAATTTTCCATTTTGGGCAGATTGTCCTTTTAAGTAACAGAAGCACAACAGATTACATAAATAGGAAGCAGTTCTTAATAGCACTTCTCAGCAGAACAGTCTGGCTTTTGCTGTAAAATATGTTGTCGTAATGTGTCTGAGGTGAATTTAGGACTGATGGAAACCATTATATGTACGCTAAATATTGCCGCAAAGAAAGAGCAGGAGATAGAGACACAAAAAAGAGGAAACGCTTAATCTGGCAGCTGTCTACATTCAGGAACTCCTCTGACCGCTAAATGAAGTCCAGGGAAACTTCAGCAGATTAGTCGCTCAGACGACAGACACTATGCACAACACACAGCATTGCTGGAAATGAGCATGATATGCTCTCATTAGAGATTCATTATAGGAGATCACAGCGGCTTGAACAAGGTGTTATTGCACAGGCCAGAGGGAAACACTGGCATTCGTATTCTGACATCAAGCACTTTGAGTTATACCACCGTTTTGCCACATTCATTGTCCGTGTTCCGCTGCAGTGACGCCACGGTGACACTGACAGAAACCAGTTTACAGCAGTGTTTTATTGTAGTACTGTTGTATTAGTACACCGGTTGTAATATTTTACAATTCAGGTGAAGGATTTAATATAGTCTGTATGTTTGTTTCCTCATCATTTTTTTCTGAGTTGAGGAAAAGATATTAAGACTACATGAATTTAACTGCTGTAATGTAACTTATTTGAGTTCATCAGAGTATTCTGCAGGAAAATACATCAGGCTGGACTTGATTTGATGCATTACGATTTGACTGGATCATGAAATGTTGGGCTTTCGTTTTTTATGTCTTTTATTAATATAATTTATCCTCAATTTGGACACCTCGGCAAAAATAAAAGTATTTTCAGATATAAACAAAGTAATATTTTCATGAAAGATAATGATAGCAATCGTAAACTTACATCGCATGCGCTTATGAATTGCATATGCAGATAAATTACAGCATGCACACTACTGTTTGGGGTCAGTAATGTTTTGTTTTTGAAAGAAATTATTACTTTTATTCAGTAAGGATGCATTAAATTGATAACAATTGTATATATTTATAACAATTATAATTATACAAAAAAAATTATATATATTTATATATATATGTGTGTGTGTGTGTATATATATATATATATATTAGTGCTGTCAAACGATTAATCGCGATTAATCACATCCAAAATAAAAGTTTTTGTTTACTCATTATATGTGTGTGTACTGTGTATATTTATGTATATATAAAGACACACACATACACTATATATAACAAAAATATGAAGCAGCACAACTGTTTTCAACATTGATAATAATCAGAAATGTTTCTTGAGCAGCAACTCATCAAATTAGAATGTTTTTTGAAGGATCATGTGACACTGAAGACTGGAGTAATAAAATTCATCATTGCCATCAGTGGAATAAATAATATTTTAAAATATATTAAAAAACTGTTATTTTAAATTATAAAAGAAAAAAAATTACTCAATCATAAACTTCACAATATTACTCATTTTACTATATTTTCAAATAAATGCAGCACTTTGTTCAAAAATATAAAAAATGTTACCAACCCCAAACTTTTGAACAGTAGTGCATGTAAAGAAAAAGGCAAGGTTTTAACCCTATACAGCTTCAATTTATCATTAGAAAACGGTTTTATTTTAAGCCAGAGTTCAAATGATTTGTTCCAGTGATTCGTTTCATTCATTTCTAAGCTGCCTGTTCAAGTGTTCCTTCCCTTAATTAATTGAAAGGGTGTCAGGATTAGTTTTGTGAATTTGGCCCGCAGTTTTCCAAGTTCTCTTTATCCATCTGATCCCTCCACATCCTGTGTTCCTCCTCCGGCCTCCTCTTCTAAAGTACAGAATGTTCTATAAATAGCAGCCAGACCAGAAATAGAACGAAGTCCAAGTGCTTGTGTTCTCACTGAGCTGGAGAAATTAGTTCCTCTTCCTGTGCACGTATCCCGAGCCCATGAGCGCTGGATCTGACCTGAAGCTGAGCAGCAGGGAGGGAGGAATGATGTTATTAGGGCGCTAACCCTCTTCTGATATCAAGCTTATAGAGACACGACAGCTGCTATTGAAAGAATGCTGCTCTTTTTCTTCACACTCATCTTAAAACAGCCTTTAAAGGATTGTTGTCTTAATTGTTTAAAGCAGATTGTGGAATTCATGGATGCTCTGTGCTAGATAACATGCAAGTGTCGGCTGGATTTTTGGCTTTTTGGTTGGTTATTCCAAGGCATGAATGCTTTTCACACAAGCTTAAAGTATTTGGTGCTATAAGGTTTACTGTTATACTGTTCATAAATATCTTGCTTGATGCTCTTTATGTTTATTTAAGGTAATTAAGTTATTGTGAAGTAAATATTTACTGGAAGATTCTGTCTGTTTTATTTGTCTGTTGTCCTCCATCAGGATATTCAATGGTAAGCCATAAAACAATTAGCATTCTTCCTCAATGAGAAAACAACTGAATTGACATGGATATTGTTTGAATCCTATTTTAATATGATTTTCTCTGTGATTTTGGTCATTTACGGTGTATACCAGTGATTCACATATATTGATTTTCCTTTTTTATTGTATTTTATTTTTCATAAGCATCCCCACTCATTTCAATGATAGTTGCAAAGCTGTTTTATAAATTGTTATCCTAGTGATTCACAATTTAAAATGACCAATATTATTATTATTATACTATTTTATTCACAAGCATTTTCATTTATTCCAATTGCATGGCTGGTTTTATGGATTGTGTATCAGCAGTTCAGATTTTAAAATGAACAATATATTGACATCTAATCTAAAGCTACTAATTAACCTGTATTTTTGTCCGCCCACAGGCCTATTCCTCAGTGCCATTTCTCTTCATTGCCACAAGGGGGCTCTGCAGATTTTATGTTTGAGCCATTAGTCTTTTCTTTGTTTGTAGACAGTCTTGCTTCTTTGTGACCCAAAGAAGGCCTCTTTGCGATTGAAGTCACCTGATCACATTCTGATCGCATTCTTGTCCTACTGACCTATGATTGAGCATCACATAGTAGAAAAGGAGACTTAAATTTTACCAAAGCTTCTGGCCCAAAACAGTAGACTTTCACCCAACGGGGTTTACATCTCATCCGCTCCTCATAATCATTCTTTCTTCTGCTTGTTGCTGTTGTGCTACTGCATGTTGACACTCAACCTTGTCATGCAAGAAAAATAGCAAACCTGATTACACAACCGAACGGTTATTGTGCTGGAACAAAGGTCTGCCTTCAGAGAAGGGCTTTAGAAGACTGTAAAAGATGTGCTTGCAGAAAAAGATTGTGACCCAAGGTTGGAGGAAAAGCAGAGGAAGCAGTTTCTGGTTCTGAGATGGTCCGCTTCTTGTCTTTAGAGGCTCCCAAGCACAAATCACCTCAGATCCACTCAGGAATTCCGACTCAATGAGAAACAGATGTTGTGTGTATGAAGCGCAGCCATGAAAGCCAAGCTCAGCTCAAAAACTGCACGCTCCACACACATACACTAAAGACTCAGTTAAGACCAAGTTCTAGTTTTGATAAACCATATTGTACCCAACCTAGTTTTGTTACTTATTATTCTGTCACTGTATTTTATTATGAGGAACCTTTCATAAAACTAGTTGCAGATTCAAACTTTGTGCTTTGTTTTGGAGGTTACTGCATCTTTTGTGCCACAGATGGGAGTAAATTACATGGCAAGCTAATTTGTAGTATGACAAAAGTCTACAGGACAGAAAAGGTTGCCTGAATCTGTTCATCTTGGTTGCTTGTCATTTAGCAAAAAGTGACTTAAAAGTCAGTAATTGCAGACACAGCCCCCTGGAGCAATGCTGGGTGAAGTGCATCTAAAATCAAACTTTAACCACTGGTCTATTCATCTGTTTTTATGTACTGTCTCTGTGGAACAGTCTAGAGCTGAAACAACAGACAAGACTCAATCAAAACGTTTTTGTATATGTCTAGTCAGAAAAAATGGGCGTCTGTCCAGCTGAGAGCAGAAGCAGTGTAGGATAGACTACACACACATACACTTCATCTGACTTTGTTTCCCCTTCTCCCCTAAATGATCATACCATCTGTGTGATTTTTTTTTTCTAAAGGGACTCCCTCTATTGGATATTGAAGCAACACACCACATACTGACCTCAGCAACTTTCCATTTTAGCTCCTCTCCGTCAATATGTACACTCCAGTTTTTCCAAAAGTAATTTCTGTTCTCTGAATATATATATCTATCTTTAAGTATTTGAAATATTTTTAGAAATCATTTTACATTTATTTATTTACTTATTTACATTTTATTTCAGTGGCAGTTCTATGGCTTTTATGGATTGTATGTCAGTGATTAACATTTTAATCTAGATTTTATATTTTATTTTATTTTGGCTGGTTTTATGGATTGTCAGTGATTCACTTTTTTAAAGGGACAATATATTGACTTCTACATCCACTTACTAATTTTTATTTTATTTTATTTTACTTTATTCATAAGCATTCCCTTTTTAATGGCAGTTGGCATGGTTGGTTTTATAGATTGTATGTCAGTGATTCACATTTTGAAATGAACAATATATTGACTTCTACATCCATTTACTAATTTTTATTTTATTTTATCTTTCATAAGCATTCCCTTTATTTTTAATGGCAGTTGTGTGGCTTGTTTGATGGATTGTATGTCTGAGATTCACATTTTTAAATGAACAATATATCTATATCTACTTGCAAATTTTTATGATTTTATTTAATTTCATTTCTATGGCAGTTGCGTGACTGGTTTTATGAATTCCTAGTGATTCACATCCTAAAATGAACAATATATTCCCTTCTACACCCAAAAACGAATCCCAGTATCATTTCTTTAAATCATTTTTTACCGATTAACAACCCTATATAATACATATAATCTTTTTTTCTGTTGTTTTGACATCACACGTATTGTTGGTTATGATGTGGTTATGATGTCTTGAAGAAAAACCCCGTGGCTCCAAAACATAAATCTGATTTAGCGCTTCCTCATGTCTTCACGGGTCACAGCGCATATCACACTGAGAACAAAGGCCTCACATAGACACATGCGCATGATTTCTGTTTTGATCTTCCCCTGAAAATGAATTAAACTGGTTAAAATAATTTGAGGGCACCACTCACCTGACTGCACATTCTTATTTGACCTAAATTAAATGTATTTATTATTTGCCATAGTGTACTATTCATTCTTTGTGCGTTACACCCCACTTGTTTATGTCTTGATGGCTTTTGTCTGTGCTCTTGTTTACTCTGTGGCTCAAATCTCAGTCTATCATTTTTGGATCAACCCTCAATTACAAGCTTGCCTTGTAGTCAGCATATTTTGGGGGATTTCCTTTCTTGAGGCATGAAAAGGCAACGCTAGTCCCATCTACAAAGGCATGCCTCACCACTTACATGGTTTACATTTTGTTCTCTATGCACGCAAGGTGAATTAGCACACATTAAAATGTAAACCAGGATTCAAGCTTTCTAACCATATGCAGTCATTTGAACTGCTTGAGTTTGGGTGCTTGAAGGCAAATTTTTGCGAGATAGCTGAGGAATGATAGCGGACTATATTAGCGCACTGGTGCCATCGTAGAGCAAAACTATTTGGTTGTATAATCAGGTTCGAGGTCATATTCGCCACAGGCTCAGCTACTGTGAACATTTTATTGTGAATCACATGCCGAAAAACAAAACAAGAACAGTATGTGCTCCAGGTAGCTTCTTCTCACTCCTTCAAACCGACAGTTAGCTGTTTGGCCTTGTTGGTAATGACAAGGTGTGTCAGCAGGTTGAGTAGTTTTGAGGTTTGAGATTGCGTTCTACCGCTCTCGCCCCAAGCCATCTGTCCTACATATCTGGCTTTTCAAGTTCACCCCTGTCTCTTTTTGTCAATAAGATGAAGCAGAGCTGTTTGGGAGGTCTGGAGACTTATAATGAGCCAAAGTGCTATACAACACTTTTTGTTACCTGTTACAAAATAGGTGA